CCACCCCCCTCTCCATTACTTCCTCGCTTCTTAAAGAACAGCCATTATACTTTGCCCTTTTGTTGAGCCTAACTGTGTTGATAGGGGCGTTAAACCATTCCGCCATTTTTCATATTACTTCTTTTCTGTGGACTGCCTTTTTAATTTGAAAACCTAGCTCTATTGTAAATGTCTGTAATTTTTTATATTTTTTTTACCCTGACCTATTCTATCATCTGGCGCTTTTGTGTTTAGTAATAACAACAAAGTGTGCTACCTTTTAGGTTTTGTACTTAGCTGTTAGTCTCAGAGTAAACACTCAGGAAAATGTTTTACTTATAGATAAGTAATTTTTCTGGTATTGTCCCCAAATGTAAGTGCTTTCTTTCTACAATATGTATTATCTCTCTCGTTCTCCTTCTCACCCCCCCCCCCCCTAAACTCAACTCTTGAATATCTTTCCTCTATTTCAAAGAGTGGCTTTTGGCGCATAATACTTTCGCACATTTGGCATTTCTCCCTGTCCTTCCCGCGTCTCTTAAATAACCTTAGCGTTGCAAGGGACGTTAAATCACTACATTTTCAATTTCGTACATTTAGCCTCTCGCCGATCCCTCCCCAATGCACCCCCTGTGCCTCTTAAATATCCTTACCGTATGACAAGCGGCCATAAACTTCTACACTTTGGCATTTTTCCTCCCCAGCCCCCACCCCTTAGATAACAAAATTACTGTTTCAAGTGTCGTTATACCTCTACAATTTGGTACACTATTGCTCTTCTTTCCTCTCCTTTCGTTTATTTCCCCTCCTTGCTCACATTTCCCCTCTCTCCCCTCTCCTACTCCCTCAGTGCCATCTACAAGATGGTGGGCACGGTGATGGAGATGCCGGAGGATGAGTCCCTCTTCTCCCTCCTCTCGTCTCTTCTCTCTCCTCCTCATATTTCCCTTCTTCTCTCCATTAACTTTCCCCTCTCCTCCTCCCTCAGGCTATCTACAAGATGGTGGGCACGGTGATGAAGATGTCAGAGGATGAGTCCCTCTTCTCTCTCCTCCTCCTATGTATCTTCTCTCCATTAACTCTCCCATCCCCTCTCCTCCCTCAGTGCCATCTGCAAGATGGTGGGCACGGTGATGAAGATGTCAGAGGATGAGTCCCTCTTCTCTCTCCTCTCTCATCTCTTCTCTCTCCTCTCTCGTTTTTTCTCTCTCCTCCTCACATTTCCCTTTTTCTGTCCATTAACCCTCTCTCCTCTCCTCCCCCCTCAGGCTATCTACAAGATGGTGGGCACGGTGATGAAGATGCCGGAGGACGAGTCGACCCCTGAGCGACGCACGGACAAAATCTTCCGCCAGATGGACAAGAACATGGACGGTCGTCTGTCCATCGACGAGTTCATCGAGGGCGCCAAGAGTGACCCGTCCATTGTACGACTGCTCCAGTGTGACCCCCAGGCCGCCACACAGAGTTGAACCGTCACAGGGGAGGGCTGATCACGTGACCCCATGACACCTCACCACACAACGATGGATAATCCCCCCTTTCCCTCCCTCCCCTTCCCTCTTTCCCTCCCTTCCCCT